ATTGAAACTTGGTGCACACACATATAATGTCCGAATTTACACGCATGGTGCATATACACCTATGAGACAATGTGTATTTAGATGTTATTGTCAAAATGTACATAATTATATTTTGAACCATGAAGATGACAGCAATTCTCACCTGTTGATGGGGCATAGTTTCGAGTGCCACCTGATGCATGCCTCTTTTATAAAACTAGTAAAACGGACCGCTCTACCCTTGGGCTACATCTTTTTATCCCTCTCTCATAAGTTGTGCAAATGACCCTATACAAACCACAGGGTCAGAGGAATTTTCTAGAATATGTCACATGAACATATGGAATTTCTTGACTCAACATTGATAAGGCAATGCACGTAATTGGCTTGTATAATACATCTTAACACATGTGTTGGAAATAAACTTGCGATATATTACTATGTGGGGCGTGCTATGTGTCCCTGGGCTGATCTTTTGAATAGATCGGCCGGGTTGCAAGCTGTAAGATCTGACGCCATTGAGTCGTTGACCGGCGCCCTCCACCATTGCAAAAAGAGCTAATGTTGCAAAAACCTTTGCAACATAAGTCATGTTGCAGAAACCTCTGCAAAAAATGTTACGTTACAATTTTATTTTATTTTGCAAAATAGACCATATTGTAGGAATTGTTGCTGCGGCGGCACCATGCGCGCCGGTGCTCCTCTAGGATGGCGATGCACATGAACATAATAGACTTTGCCTCCTAGTTGTCTAAGCAATATAAACGACTTCTATCTTGAGCCAATAGGCTGCTTTAGGCACCTGAAGATATCTTGGGATCCAAGCCAATCGCGTACACTCGGACACCTACGCCATCGATGGTCCTTTGGAGCTCAGCATCTTTGAGGTCACAGAATGTGTTGAGGATGACACCGTACGAACACCTTGATTATTTCACAATGCATTCTAGGCAGGTGAACATCGTTTCATATGGAGTTGTGGTTGAGAAGACCGTGTCTCGCAACCAGAGTGGTGGAGATCATCCAGTGGCATATTCAGTTGCAAACGATCTGAAATTTAGTTAACAAAATAATCAACTACCGGGTGACGTATGTGAGGATGCATCTGCATTATTAGGAAACTAAGAAATATAAATATGCGAGTCTAGTTTACAATTGATGTTATTGTTATTGTCGTTGTGTGTGGCAATGTGCATGCATATGTGAATATGAGTAGTAGTGCAAGTTTACAAAATGTATATGAGGATGATTGCTCATTATTAGAAAGCTATTTTTACTCTGATTTGTCTACTCCATCTCAATGGTGGTCACTCTATATACAAGTATGGTCTTACATGCAGTTGCACTCGACTCCATGTGCCATCTATATTTATTTTACGATTCATCCTTGGGGCTTGCATTTAATGGAAATGTTCTATATTCCCTTTCAACTGATTCTTGCTCTAGTGTATTTTTTGATTTCTTTATTGTTTGCTTATCCTTTCTTTCCAAATTTCCTTGCACCATAGGATATGCTTCTAGGTTGCCGCTACTTGTTACCACAATGAAATCGACTATTTTTTTATAGTTTTGCTTGGTGTGTGAGTTGTTCGATCCTGCCAAAAATATATACTTTGATCATCAATTCACTGCTTTCTGACTGGCCCATTATTCCAATGACAAGTTATGACTTTTAGCATAGGGCCTCAGTTGAGGGACTACAATACACAGGTCAGCCCACTCGTGTGCATCTCTAATGCCTTACATTGATGTGAGCTAAACTAGTATATACCTTAATTTCTCTATTTCCATAAAGAAACATAGATTATGTTTGTGGACTAAGAATTTTGCAAAGGAAATGCTAACAAAGCATTGCTATAAGCTGATCATTTAACTACACAAATTGTTCCAACAGGTCATAATTATTTTTCATGCAAGCGAACTTTTTTGTTTGACAAATGTTGCATCATTCATAAAAAAGATTTTTAATCATCTCAACAGAAGAGTTCATATGGCTTTTGGAAATGTGCCACTAGTTAAAGAAAAAGGTCCTGTTACTGACTTAAAACGTCTATCTCGCATCAGGAAATGTAATGCTACTTCAAGAAGAATGTTCACCAATCTCAACAAAATTGTAAACATGTCATTCAAAAATGTGTTGCGGGTTCAAGAAAAATGTCCCAACTATCCATCCAGCATCACGGAAATATCCAAGAAAAATGTTATAACTATTGAAGACACATCCAAAAGCATTCTAAAAAATATAGGGAACGTGAGACTGGATTTTTTGCTCTGGGGCTCCATGGAGCAAAAACAATTCGAAAATCAACTTTCTAAATTTCAAGAAAAATCTGAAAATAAACACACAAGTTCTTGTAGATGTATACATGATACATGTGAAATTTTATCATGAAATGTGTTTCGATGTGATTTGTACAGAAAGAACAAAAAACATGTACTTTTATAGTGAATAGTACATGTGCTAGAAATACATGATTTTGCCTTTTTTGTGATTCGCATAAAAAATTATTTCGCCATGAAACTTTGCAAACAAGTAGTATACATCCATATGTATGCTTGAATTTTTTTCATAATTTTTAAAACCTATTTTTTAACTTTTGTAACAAATGGCTCCATGGAGCTCGAGTTCATTTAGTAATTTCCGCGGGAACATCACATATAAGAGAAAAGGACATGACTCAACATAGGCAAAATAGCAAAAAATAAAAATTTTACACATCTAAATGATTATGTTGTTCCATTAGTGCAATGTCATGAATCTACATGATTCCCCTAATTTTATATGTCCCTCTCCATCTAATGTGACGGCTTCCTAGTGTATACTCAACTAACTCGCTAAACATTTTATTTCACTCGCTCGAAGAATAGTTGTGTTTTAATATTGTGTCATCCATGTTCTTTGCATCACCTTACATTTAATTCTTTAACTTAATATTGTTATGCTGGAAATTTTTCCGGTTGCCAGATATTAAATGGTAATGAATGGAATATCAATTTGCTAGTTTCTAAATATTTGCAAAGTTTTAGCATGTTTATAGAAAAACTTATGAACATCTACAAACTAAAAATATACAATATGATATTTTTACTATGTATTTAATGGTACTAATTTGGTACGTAGTTAGTGATAATTTTTCAACTTCACACAGTTTGACTTGAGATAAAAAATTATAGATCTTCTTTTTAAGCACAGATGAAGTATGTTATAACTCTATAATATAACATAAATAATATTGTGTGCGAAATGAAATTATGAGGAATTTGCAGAAATGTATTAGGCAATATGTAAGAGTTCACACATATGCCAAACAAGTCCATGTACGGTAACAACATTCTAAGTTTCAGGAATGAATTCATATGAAAATACAAAACAAGTCTCATCTAAATGGAACAAGGTAATGACATCATAAAATTCACCAACAAATTGATTCTAGTTTCTGAAGAGCCTCCTTTCTTCATACACTCGGTTGCTTTGTCCTCGAGATCTTTCGCCCTCCACCTCATCTCTCCACCTTCTTCGTGGCAAAACAACTTTCTAACACTCCTCTCAATCTTCCCCCTCTCCAACTTTCCCTCTAACTCAAATCCTACCTTCCAGACCTCCTGGACATACCTGGCATTTATCATCTGATCGGCAAAATGGGGTCTACATATCATCGGAACACCCTCACATATGCTTTCCAACGTCGAGTTCCAGCCGTTATGGGTCCAAAAGCCACCAACTGCTTGGTGCCCAAGAACTTCTTGTTGAGGGGCCCAACTCACCACCATTCCCCTACCACGTGTCACCTCCTCAAAGCCTTCAGGTAGGCCTACCTTCCCTGAACATTGAACCAAGTTTGGCCTAATCACCCAAAGAAATGGCATGCAACTATTGGCCAAGCCCCATGCGGTCTCCACTAGCTCTTCCTGGGTCATGGATGCCAAGCTCCCAATGCTCAGAAATAGAACGGACTTCGCCTCCTGCTTATCCAACCAATTCAAACAAGTTTTGTCTGCATCCAACAGGCTGCTCTGGGCACTTGGAGATATTTTGTGAAGCGGACCAACTGCGTACACTGGAACACCTAGACCATGGATGATCTTTTGGAGGTCGGCGCCTTCAAGCTCACTAAAGGTGTTAATGATGACACCAGAAGAATACCTCGCAGATTCCATAATGCGTTCAAGGCAATTGGACATTGTTTCATGCGGAGTTGTGGTTGAGAAGACCATGTCTCCTAGCTGGAGTGGTTGGAGATCATCCAGTGGCATGTTCAATTGCGCATGATCTGAAAATTTGGTAAAAAAAATGGCCAGTCATTGGTTGACTATTTGAGAATGCACCATTAGGAAATTAGGAACCTTAAACATGTGAGTCGGGTTTTCAACAAATGTTGATACTTGTAGGTGATTGTGGTTGTGTGTGGTAGTGTAGATATGTAATGTGAGTAATAATTTGTGCTTATAAAATGTTCTATATCCATAGGTAGCTACTTTTACTTCGCTTTTTCTTCTTCCATCTTAATGCAAGTCACCCCATCGGTATACTCTTACCATGAGTCTTACCAAATACCAGTTGTGTTATTTTTTGGTGTTTGAGGAGGAAAGTAGGTTTCCTATTGCGTATTATCTTAATTTTTGAGCATGAACGGACGGGTTGGGGTACTACAAGGCTTATGCCTCTAAGAAAAACAAGAATATACAGAAGCAAATCATATCATATCAAACGAAGGAATCAATACAATGAGTTGTGTTAAATTGAGGCGACTCTTTTGCATGCAATTTCACTTCACTCCATGTGCCATCTATTTTTCTGTATGACTCGTTCTTGGAGCTTGCACTATCTCCCTTCCAATTGGTGCTTGGTTCAGTGGACTTTTTGGTTTTAGCATTTCCTTTCTAAATTTTATTGAACCATAGGATATGTTGCTTGGTTGTTGCCACTAGTTTCTTGGAGCCGCACCTCGGTACACGGTACTTTTCGAGTATTCAAGCGACTGTCTGTATCAACCACAGTCAAATTTATGACAAAAAAGAAGTCCCATTTATCGTTTTCCTTATGAAAACATTCAATTATAGTCGTCCTTACTTTGTGTGATTGCTTTTTTATGGTCATTTTCGGTAATTAGCTATCGTGAGTACTTCCGGTTAGACGCACATTGCGTCAAATGGCTACAGTTCTGCAAAGAGCTCACCTATGGCGCGCCCATTTAGTCAGCATGGATATCGGTTTTTGGAACCTTCTCAAAGATTCATAGCCTTTTTTCATGTTGTTTCTTTACCGGTTTTCTATGGTTTCTTTTTTACAAAAATATTTTAAAAAGTTAAGAAATTTGAAAAAATGTTTCCAATTTTGAAAGATGTAGGACAATAAAAAAATCATGTTTAATCATTTTCGGAATTTTAAAATGATAATATTTTCAAACTTTATTCATAAATTTTAAAAAATGTTCAGGAATTTTACTTAAAAATGGTTCTAAAATATCCATGTTATCAAAATTCATTCACAAATGTAAAAATATTCATGTTTCAAAAAATGTTGGAGAATTTTAAAAATGTACTTCTTGTCAAAATTTTGAAATTATAAAAAATGTACCGAGTTTCAAAATTTGGACTTCCACAAAATTGCATTTTCCAAAAAAATCTTAGAAATTTCAAAAAAAATTGTGTTTTCAAAATATTATAGCTTTTGTAAGAAATATTCGTATTTTCAATAAAACAAAAAAAGAGGAACATAAAGAATTGATATCTATAGTTACTGGGTCACTACAGTGACCGGTTCACTATGGTGGTAGTTGTTGCAACGAACCAACTTGATACGGTGCACTAGTCAGTACATCGGTCGCTACAATACGCGTTAAGTGGGCCAGACCAGTTGTGGCCTCGCATGTGCATTGGATTCTTATTTGAGGCAAAATGCGTCATATAGGGGCTTCCGCTACCTTTGATTGGAAAAAAAGGAGCTTTCGCTACCATGATTGATCATGTCTGAAAAAATAGGCTTGATATATTCGTTACTTTGGCCCGGGGCTGTTACTAGATTGATAGGCCATGGCTTTGTTGGCACGAGAGCCATGAAATCACTAATTAAGGGGTTACCCTTGTAAATGTCACTCCCACTTTCTCTGTTGCTGAGAAATAACGCACTATATTTGCCCCACTTGTCACAAACTAGGAGTTTTCCTTTTTTTTAACAGATTCATTTTTAACGGTTTATCTCTTGAACCATGCGTCCAAAGCCCTAACCATTTTCATTGTTGGATTTCTTGCGTTGAGATCTTTGAAACTAGATCACAAGTTAATAGGTTTATGTGAACTTTAAAAAATGAAATACGTGGAATAAAAAATCAAACAAAAAAGAAATAAAAAACAGGAAGAGAACAGAAAAACAAAATATGAAAACCTAAAACCAAAAAAGACAAAAAAATAGAAAAAGGAAACTAAATAAACCAGAACCTTGAAACACAGTCGTGCTCCTCTAATAGCATAGGTCGTATTTTCCTGAATAATCAATTATGAGCCGGGGCTCATCTGCTCCTGGTGAACAGTAAATTCAAAAAAATACTAAAACCCAAAAGGAAATCTGGAATTTTTTACGTGGAAGATGTTCGAGCATGTGATGTCCGTGTCAAATTTCAGCTCGTGGCAAACAAAATTTGGTCCAACGGTGCGCAAACTGTAAGCTTTTTCACAGGCACCAAATTTGTCTTTTTATCAAGAGCTATTGAAATGTCCAAACTCCGCGAAATTCAGCGTGGATTTCATGCAAATGAGTCACAAACAAAAAAACTGATTTTTTTAAAGAAATACTATTTTAAACGATTTTACCTTGCATCCTAATGTGCAGATGCACTCCGCTTCTGTATTTTCCCCAGTTTTGGGGAAGAACAACTATGCATCTCGTGGAAGCACAGGCTATGCTTCTCACGAAAAAGCGCTGCTTCGGCAAAAAAAATCCTCCAAAACTAGGGAAAACAAAGAAAAAAAATTAAGAAGCCAAAAAGGCGAAAAAACCTAAAAAAAAACCCAAAAACGCGTGGAAAATACTGAAAACGCGAGGGTGCACCCAAAGTGTGAATTGCGACGGGGGTTGGGCGCATCAGTTGACACGCTCCTAACCCAAGAAAGAGACCTTTGCGGTAGCCCTCCAAGGCATAACCCTTAATTAGATACTCCGCAAGAGTCGTAAGTTTTTTTAGTGGAAGGAGAGACGTAGTTGAGGGACCCCCTAGCGCTGCTCACTTGGGCTGGCCCACGATATGTTTCTATGTAGCATCTCTAACGCTTTACATCGATGTGAGCTGAACTAGTTAGCCAGTGTGCAGTTTGCTAAAAAAAGGTAGCTAGTCTGTTCTAGAAGTGTATCTTAATTTCTGGATTCCATAAAGAAAACATAAATTCTATTAATGCACTAAGAAACTCGAAAAAAACACAAACAAAGCATTAGTACAGGTTGTTCTGATGGGTCATAAAAAGTTGTTCCATGCTAAGGAACATTTTGTTTTGACAAATGTTGCATCATTTCTTTTAAAAAAATAAAGCGTCGCAACAAAAGCGTTCAACTGGTTTTCGAAAATGTTCCTCTGGTTGAAGAAAAAAAATTCCAATGTTTAACTTCATCTCACATTAGGAAGTGTAATACTAGTTCAAGAAAAATGTTCGACAATGTCAATATAATTATAAACACGCCTTAAAAAATGGGCCGCTAGTTCAAGAAAAACTTTCCAACTGTTACATCAAACTGCGGCGGTTTTTTAAATGATGTGTTCACCTTAAGTTAGAAAATATGTCAATAGTTCAGAACAATGCCCCATACATTAAATGATGTTTTTCATCCAGCGCCATAGAAATGTCCACCGAAAATGTTGTAACTATTCAAAACACATCCAAAAGCGTCATAGGAAATTTTAGGCACGTCATATATAAAAGGAAATTACTTGATGACTCAACATTGGTAAAACACATAAAGGAATATTAATGTAGTGAAGGAGAAAAATAACAAAAAATGTCATGCATCTAGATAACTACGTTGTACTTGTACCATCGGTTACAATGTCATGCATCTCAATGATGCATCTAAATTGCTATGTCACCTCTCTGTCTAATGCAATGTTTGCTATTGCATACTCATCTAAATTGCTAAACATTTTATCTCACTCACTGAAAGCATATCTTGTTTTTCCTTATTAATGCATAGATATAAATGGGTGTATTATGTTTACTTCATATATTAAACAAAAGTATTTCGTATTAAGGATTTATATGGTGTTTGTATACAAAATTTATAATTATCTGAATTTTCTACTTTTCTGTGTTAAAAGTCTAATTGAAGTAGGCATTCTCAAGGCTAAAGTTTTACTTGCATCGGCTAAAAAAAGTTGCAGTACTACTTGCATGTCAACTGTCCCGATGCAGAAAGTGCTGCGAACTGTTTGTTTGTTAGGTAGGTGTGGTAGTACAGTACCTTGTAGCGGGAGGAGGCCCTTGTCGCACAGCGCCGGGAAGGCCATGTAGGCGACGAAGCAAGCGGCGCCGCCCGTGCGAAGCACCAGCGTCGGCACGCCGAGCCGGTCGGCGACCACCTGCATGCCTCGGAGGTTGGAGTCCAGCACCAGGCACGCCGGCCGCGCTCCCTCCTCCTCCTCCAGCACTTCGCGGAGGCTGTTCTGGAAAGCTCCTTGCAGGCGCTCGTTGAAGCGCAGCAGCGCCCCGACGAAGTCAGCATCGCTGCCCGTAGGGACGAGGTCGGCGGCCGGCACGCCGGCTCCGACGGGCACGAAGCGGTACCCCGCCACGGAGTCCGGCGCGTTGAAGGCGGCGTGGAAGATGGTGACGCGGAGGCCCCGGGCGTGCAGCACGGCCGCCAGCTGCAGCATCGGGCTCAGGTGGCCCTCGAACGGCAGCGGGAACATGAGCACGCGCCGGCCGGGGATCGCCGGAGCCTTCCCCGCCTCGCTGGCCATGGCTTTTGTTAGGGAGGGGAGTGCCTGATTGGTGATGGAGATATCGATCCGTATAGTGTTTGGTTCCTATATATACAGGGAACGTAATCATTAGTAGTAGTTGGATGGATTTGGATTGGATCGAAATAAAAGAGGATCGTGTGATTAGAGCGCAATGAATCGGTTAGAGCGGGAGAGAATGGATGGATATGGGATGCCAGCACGAGGATTCGAGTGCGTGCTTTGTTTAGGGTGAAAACGATTGCATCCGGACCAGGCCGACCGTCCTGAGTCCTGACGGCGACCCAAGGACGCGAGTATTGTTCACTTTTTATCCCTTATTCACTTTTTATCCCTTTGATGAGTAGGGAACACGGACAGCGGGGACACGGCCACACGGGGGACATGCGGATATGGCGTTGTTACCCAACGGTAATATCCCATTTGGTGAGATGTCCGCCCACGTCATTCGTCAAACACCTAGAAGGCGCAGCCGACGCCAGCGTCAACGACGAGCATGATCAATTCAGACAGACCCAAGTATCTCTCCTTTCTAAATTCATATAAAGAATCACCTTAGTATAATTTTTCTTTTAATAATTTAGTTGTGTGCATTCTCAATGTCTTGACTAGTTCTTGACTTTGTATTGGTGCAAAGGCCATTTGTACATTCAAAAAAAAATTAATGTTATGATTTGTAAGGCACTTAACATATATATTTTTGGTATAATGTATTGTCAACATTAAATCTCCAAATATATCCATGAAGGTAATACCAAATTTACATTAATATATTAATCCTTATAAGAAAATGGCATAATGTATTAGTAATCGAAACTCTTATAATCATGGACCGTACAATTTTAGATCTCTTTATCAGAATTATTCGGTCCTGTCCCACGGGTTAGGTGCTTAGCTCAAGGTGGAAGGTGAAGCCTAGTAAATTGATGGAAGCGTCTCAACCTATGCAGAGGGCCGCATTCGCTGATTTAATAGGTTGGAGATTCTCCCGAATACCCGAACATCGTGTTGGTTACAAACTTGATTCGAACATAAAAAGGGATAAGGAAAGCTAACAACCTGACAAGATCCTAGCCGACACGCACACACGTGCTAATTCAACATGTTTAAAATGATGCAATAGTTCAAACTCTAACAACCTCTCTTAATCACAACTTTCTCAAGTCGAGATTACATTTTAATTCTTTCGAATTCTCGTGGGCAATGCTTCTAAAGTCATGTGTAACTTCATTTCTTCAATGAATAAATCAAACGTACATCAACATGTTGGTGCCTCGCCCTCTCACAAAGTGCAAGTCTATTTTTATGTGTTTCGTATGGGTATCAAACACTAGGTTAACACATAAATGGGTATCGCCTAAATTATCGCACCTAATACAAGGAGTTTTTGCTTGAGGCACTCCAAGTTTGGCGAGCAAAGACTGGACCAAAATGATTCATGTCGTGGCATTTTCAAGGGATTTATATTATGCTTCGATACTTGATCTTGACATTGTTGTGTGTTTCTTAGCATACCATGAAAATAAGTTTAGTCGAAAAAAATATTGTAAATAACTAGTTGATCTTCTACATATATCATCCAAGCTTCCACCTCAATCCACATCAGCGAAGACATTTTCCAAGGTAGGTGATGACTTATTAAATGTCAAATCAACACTCAAAGTGTTCATGACATACCTCAAAATACGTTCTGCAACAGTTCATTAAACTATGATAGGGGAATGCAGAAATTGGAATACCTTACTTACAATGAGAGGGATATCAAGTTTAGTGATACTCAAGTGTTGAAGTGCACCAACTATGCTCCTACTTGTTGTGATATGTTCTTATCCCAAGGGTTCTCCCTCAAGAACCGACAAGTTTTCAGTGTTTTGAGAGTTGAGATGGAGAAGGCTTAAGCCCCTACATTCCAACTGGAGTCAAAAGATCTAGTGCATATTTTCCCTGTGATGGCACCATCCTCAATCTTCTTAATTACAATCGCACAGAGAAATCTAAGCCTCCCAAGTTCTTCACGACAAAGTATGTGTTTAATAGGTTTTTTGCTTCTTCATTAGATGAGCTAGTGATGATAACTATGTCATCAGCATAAATAAGCACAAAATTACTACTCCAAATTTAATATAAATGGGTACTGAAGTATCAAACTTGGAATGAATATAACCATATATTGAAGATTTGAGCTTAAATGATAATACCATCCCCTAGGAGCCTATTTAAGTCCATATAAGGTCTTGTCAAACTTACACACCTACTAGGGTCATAAACAACACACACACGCGTGCGCACACACAAACACTAGATACAACAAGAGACAAGATCTTGCTTAAGTCCATATAAGGCATTGTCAAACTTACACACATGGAATGGTGCATGGTTATCTTCAAACCCAAGCGGTTCTTTCATGTAAACATCATCTTCCAAATATGAAAGTGACAATAATCGGGGTATTTACATGTATTAATTAGGCATTAATGTTGTTATCTCGTGCTTCGTAAAAGTAGCTCCTTGATTACCACTATTTTTCATTAGGATCACACAAAAATGGGGGGTTGGACAAAAGATGTTGTGCAAGTACTTATTGCTAGCATGTACAACCACATACGAAGTACATGCCTACATGAGTTGATAAATTTGAGCTATATTATTAGCAGCCTATGTACCGTTGTTGTTTAATTGATTCAATCCAGCCAACGTCCCGTTATCCATCCTCATGCCTATGCTTTTGATAATTATTGCTCTTGTTAAGATCTTTGTACTTAGCAACTATTGGATATTGCTGCTTTCTGTTACTTTATTGCCATCAAACTACGGCCACTCCATCACATTTGCTACTAATAAACTCTCATGGGCAAGTATTTGTTTTCAAGTGTAGTTGAATTGACAACTCAATTGCTGAAGCTTATATATATTATTTGGATCCCCTTGTATTGAATCAATAGATTTGGGTTTCCATACTTCTCATCGACTGTTGCAACCCCCTACACTTGTGGGTTATCACCAGGCTAATTGAAGTGTGATCACACGCCTCTGCTATTCTCGTACAAGGCTATAGACAAATAGACATATGACTCCGCACCATACAGGCCATGTACAGGGTGAGGCGGGAGAGTTAATCTATTGATCATCACAATTTTTTTGCCACCTTGATCAAAGATAGATTAAGGATAGAGCTAGTCCTATTAGCAAAATTTCTTTGTGAAGTAGAACGGCGATATTAGCACATATGGTTTGAAACGGGAACAAGTTTTCATAAAAAGCAATATCCCTACATATATAAACTCATCTAGAATGAACATCAAGGCACTTGAATCCCTTATGAAGAGCAATATAGCCTAGAAAACACACTACTTATATCTAAAATAAAGTTTGCGGGCATTGTAGGGCCTACAATTTGGCCAATGAATACACGCAAATATGTGAACAGATGCAGAATCATGTCTGGTAACTAGGGGGCATTCAATGGTTGTCAAAAAGTTGATGACTCGGGTTGGCAACATGCTGATGAGATGGGTTGCAATAAGGAATGCTTTATCCAAGAATTTTAATGGCATAGAAGCATTTGCAAGAGTAATTCTACTTCAACAATGTGTTAATTTTTTAGAAATCTGTTGAACCATTTTGTTGGTGATCATGGTGTAATAGACATGATGGGGAATTATTTCTTAAGGAACTTAAGTTTTCATATTGGCCACCCCGATTATATTGTGCAACAATATTTTTTCTATCAAATTGTACTCAACAAGTGCTTGAAATTTATGAAAATATCTGAAAACCATTAGATATCTTCTTAATAAGATATATCCATATGTACTTGCTAAAGTCATCAATGAAACTTGCATAGTAGGTATATAATGAGTAGGGTGTTTTGGTAAAAAAAATTCAAAAAATTCGTAAAAAGAAAATTAAAAAAAATTGTGCGGTAGAAAATTTGATGCCTGGGGTCCGCTCCAAATTTCAAGTCATTTGGGCATTTGAGCAGTTCTCAGAAAAAAGACTAATCGGACCAAAATAATACATGAATAGTAAACATTTTTACAAACCCTCAATTTGTCTTTTTTGCTGAGAGCTCCTCGGATGTCCAAATGATTTGAAAATTGGAGTGGGCATCACGCATCAAATTGTCTACCTCACAAAAAAATGTAATTCTTTTGAATTTTTCTAGTATTTATTTTGATTTTTTTCAGCGTGGGTGCAGATGAACTCGGGTGCAGAGATGGATTTTTGGTATATAATCCAATAGAGATAGGAGTTGGTCCCCATGCATCACCCAACACAAGCTCTGAAGAACAAGTAGAAAGAATATTTGAGACATGGTATGTAAGTTGACGACTTCTGCCTTTTTAACATGAACACACACTAACTCGGAACTAGACTCGCCACAAAAGGGAGTTTATTATTCCTGAGAATTTGTTGATTATGGAGGACGATGAATTTCCTAGGTGGCTATGCCACCTTTACATAGATGGTGTGGTGACACTAAGAACTTACTACTTGATCTCCTAACTTGAGGGACTAGAGAATAAAGTACTCCTTCACTTTTGTCTCGCTGAATTATTTTTTCCATTACCTATTGATAAGAAAAATTAGGTGAAACCCGACATAGACTTGGTTCTCAATGGCAGGACGATTAAGAAAAAACAAGATTCTTTGATGAACTAGTAACATGAAGGATATTTTTAAGATGACGAGTATGTTTCTTTCAATAATTGAATAGCCAACATGACTTATTCTCGTACCCAATCCATTGGTTCTATCCACCCGATATTGTATGTGATACTTGTCACAAATCATCAGTTATCAAGATCTCTATGATCTGATCAATGGCCTCATTGTTAGCGTACACCAATTTGTGTTGACGCAATAAGTGGTGTTGGCAGACCAACAACCTCCTCTTCTTGTTGATAGAAATTGTCGTAGCACCACTAGCAATCCGACACATTTTGGCTAGACTTGCCACATATTTGGCAAATCAGTCAAGGCTTAGTCCCGCTCTTACT